TATAGTGATCTATTTAAAACAATCAACTTGACTTTCATATCTTTAAAGTGGCTATTTGTAAAACAAATATTATATTCTGTAGTGACTACTTTTAATAGCTTACATTTTGTTTGAGATATATTCTTTAATTTTTCAAACAATTATAGTTATTCATCTGCTTTATTTAATATACAATATAAATCTCCTAAACTTGAACTTTACTACCTTGAATTACTTATAAATTAATTGTTACATGCAAAAATGTTCTAAACAAAAATTATAATATAATAAGAGGGAATAAAAGCTCAAAATATAATAGTTACTTTATTGTTATCGTAATTAAAAAACTAGCAAAGCATGTGAGTTCAGAAACTAATAACTAATGTAATAGTTTTTAATGTATATGTCTTAACAGTTTTGTAATGATTGTCATGTTTAAGCCTCCTTCGTTCCTAACTTACTTCTGTTTGAAATATTTGTTTAAATAACAAATAATTTAACAGTAATTCAAGGTAGCAGAGTTATATATATAATCAAAATGGTAGGTACCTTATGTTCCATTGATAAAGCATCCTTCTTTGGTGGTAGCTCAGCCAAAACTTTGAACTGTAACCGTATAGTTTGAAATGGTTCGCAAACTGGCAGTGATATTTCTAGTTCTTTACACATTACTTCTTGTGAATTGGTAACTTGTACTACTAACCCTCTAGATGTACGTAACTTAAGCTTCATATCTTTTGTTACTTTTATACTGCCACTTATTATAATTAATTCTATGTCTTGGATAAGGCCTGCCAATAAATCTCTGCCACATTTCAAAGTAATTGTTGGTTGTGTTTTCGCTACTTCGTAGCATAACCGGGGATTCAAAATAGGTGACAAAAACTCTAATTTTTCTTCGATGACTAATGATAGTTGGCCAACTTTGTAAAAGCCAGGCTGATCAACACGTTTAACCAACGTAAATGTATTCACGCCTGGTTTCATTACAAACTCGTCACATGATAATGCTTTACTAAAATCACCCTTTGCATTTACAGATGGTTTTCTATGTTTTGTACTATCAGAACGTCTCACAACTGGTTTAGTGTTTTTGTGAACAACACTAACTGATGCAAGACTTTTGTCTTCTTTATAATTTGGATACGAATACACTTGTAGTTGAAGCAATCTTGGGTTAAGTGGCTTCATATCTTCAAGGGTACATTTTGATAATCTGAGAAGAATGATTTATAAATTACTGACTAATAATATTAAGAATATATTTGTGACTTACATTGGAATTGCAGGTTCAGCTGGTGTCTTCATCCCTTTTTTTATTTTATTCGATGTTGGAGGCTTCTGAATGTCTTCAACAGATATTGATGCTTTGGTGCACTTTACTTCTCTTGGAAATAAACTTCTTATACTGATCTCAATATTAACCACACAATCTTGTACCACTTTGTCCATTACTTTGACCTGCATACTGAGTATTACGAAAGCATATCCAAGTTCTATGAGTAATGGCTGAGGGGAAGCAATCATTTTCATGTAACCAAACATTTCTTCAAAATATGTATTACGAACAGTAATATGCAGCACATCCAAACTAGCAATTGCTCCACTAATTTTTGTGTACTTTTCAACATCGTCCATTCTTTTGTAGCACTGCGCCAATTCTAGTTGAGTATGTGCTGCTAAACGACTCCAACCTTCATCAGTATAAGTTTTTAAAGCATCCAACAAAAATGCTACAGCTTTTTGATTCTCTCCAAGTTCGCAATAAAATTGTGCTAACTCTGTCCCTATTAATCTCGCTGATCGAATGCGCCCTACATGTTTGTAAGTACCCATTGCTAATTCTGCATGTTCAAGATATTGTTTCTTGAAAGCTTCTTTTGAAGAAAGTGCTTCCTTCAATTTATCAGTTGGTGTTAATTTTCCTTCTACTTGTGGTTCAGAATCGCCCATCCCAGCTATAAGATAGACAACTGTGTGCAATTGTTCGCTAGAGGGTTCATTTCCAGGCATTAAACCACATAATTTTCCTAAACTTCCTAACTAAAATAAATTATAGTATCATTTAATCCATAATTTTTATCATTCTTTTACCATTCATATATTACATTTCTAACTTACTTTGTCTCTGGCAAGAGCCCATAGACTGGCTGTATGAAGGGAGCATAGATCTAATTGTTGATTATTATCAATATTATAAGTTGATAATTGGCAGGCTTGCAGTACTTCCAATGCACAAAGGAAAGACCAACACTCAATGGATCCTTCAGGACGTTGAACTTCTAAGATTCGTAATTCACTTAATGTGTTATGTACAAATGACAAGCACCTTTGCGCAACCTAAAGTAAGAGTTATTAAAACATTGATTAAATGTAAGTAAAAGTTTTATAGGCAAATGCCCAATGAGAAATAAGATTAGATTATAGAAAAATTTGATATATACCTCCCATGGTTTATTAAACGCTAATAACATGGCACATTGTCTACTAAATAAATAACTTCTAAGATCTAATAACGATGCTTTACACTCAGCCAGAAGGTATCTTAAATCATGATTTGTACCATTACTTAAATTAACACCTCCCCAATTATTTAAAGGAGTTTGAAACAAATTTAACCAATGGGGAGTGTCTGTAAAAATTTGGAATATATGTTATTATTTAATTATTAGAATACAGACAAAACACAGAAAAAGATTTATTGTACCTCCAACATTCGAATTAAGCACAAATTGTGTAAAGAGAGCATCTAATTCATCATATTGTACTAATGCTTCATCGTATAAGCCTAACATTTGTAGAACAAATGCAAGTTCTTCCTGAAACAAAAATTTTTAGTTACAACCTATAAATTTATGGAGTAATACAAATTAATACAAGTTTACTATTTTACCTGTAATAAAAAATAGTGACAAAAATTCCAAGTTGGATGATTCCTGTTTTCTCGTTGTTCTCTAATCACATCTTCGAAAGCAGACAATGTTTTGTCATATGCTATAAGCATTAATTGACGTATGCGATTAATTAAACCTCTCCATGATTCAGCTGAACGCATCTCTGATTTGACAGAATTTATTACAGAAAAACATCTGTTTGACACACAATATATGTAATGAGAAACAATTTACTAAGCACGATGTATTAATTGTCATTTTTATCACCTGTCTCCGTTTTTAGAAGCAAAATCACTGCGAATTTTGTCTAAGACAGTTGTCCTTGGTAACAGTTTATTAGTTTTCTTTATATCATATGTCTCTACTAAAACAATCATCCAGTCTTGTATATGATACTGTGTTAACGTTTTCAACCAATTATCTATGTCATCTCTAATATTGGTTTTATAAGTATCTACATCCTGGAAATGAAACTTTCACTGTAATTTAAGTAAATTCTTAATTAATACTATATTTATCCATTATTATATTAATACACTTACAGAACATTCGCTCCAATAAATATGAAATATTGGTTGTTTTATCAGATGACAATCCTTCTTAGATGGAAGAATATCCTTGGAAAATGACACAAAATTTGCCCCAAGTTTGACCTGCTTGATTGGTCTACCAAACGATCTTCGCCATTCAACTGTCTCTGCGGGTATTCCTTGGACCAAACCATTTTCCACTGTAGAGAATAATTTTTCATCTCCTGCATCTATATTTAAAAAAGCATTATACCATCTTGAAATAAAATAAACAGGAACCACATCTGTCTCCCTCAATTATATCTTTACAATTAAAGTTCATAGTAAATATAAAAATATATTCATAATACAAACAGATAATATTATAAACGCAATGCAATTAACAAAGTCTAAATGAAAAGTTTATTAACCTATTGAAAATAACATATGTTTATTAAGAATTAATAATGATCATTAAAAAAGTTATAATTTCGAAAGAGTTCATTGTTATGTGCTCCAGCGTTCGCAGAGTATAAAAAACCATATTTTAATTACATATACAATAAAAAGAAATGAAATGTCATACAGATTGACAGTTAGTCGAAGGCGTCAATAACAATACATAGCGATGCCATTCTAGGAAAGAGGTTAAATAAATGAATATTTTGATCAATGAACTTACATGTGATAATTGGCTTCGAATCCATAAAGAAATTTGTCTTACGTTCACCATCCACGGACAACCCCCCATTGCAATTCATTTCTAAAGATTGGTAGTTGCTTTGCAAACTTGCTTTCAATCATTACAACTCTACGTCACTTTTACTAGTTTTAATAAAATTACTTTTTAGTTGATTTTGACAGAATATATTTGTTGCCTCAACGTTTTCGATCAATCAAATGAAGATTATTATTCTTATTCGTCACTAGTAAAGAGATATTCGATGACATCTGACAGATTCAACATTTTACTTCGATCACTCAGAACACTCACAAGTTTCATTGAGGTTGGAATTGGATCTTCATTCAACATGTCGTGGAACATCGATTCTTCAAATCTCGATATCTCGTGTATCAACCAAAGTACGTATATACATACATGCTGTACTACAGTTGTTTGTTTGCACCTTGCAACTTCTCTTTGCAAAATAAAACGCTTTTAATTCAAACAACATGGACCATAAAATTCTTGAAAAAAGAATGTAAGAGTAATTTATTAACAATATAGTAATATGAGGAATATAAGAATACATGAAATGGTATGTGTATGCATAATGCAATCTGTAATATTTCATTAAAATAAAATTGTATCGGTTATCGCACACATTTGTAAACAGGTTAAATATTTAATTTTTATTTTTAAACTAATATTATATAAAATACGAATTAATTAAAAATTTCGGGAACAATGAAATATATATTTATTTTAATCTTTACAGATGTACTAAAAAATATCTCAAAATTTATAATTGGTACAACTAACTCAGTAATTGCAGAGAGACATGTTGAAGAAAGTTATTCAGAAAATTCCAGGTGAAATACCATCTCCTTACACAAAAGAACATCATATAGAAGACTTAGGAAAGAAACAGAAATATGAATTAGAGGAACTGTTGGAAAGACAAAATAAAATTCTTGCTAATAAGTAGGTAAGATATGAAGCAGACAGATCAGTGTTTTCTAATGCATACCTTTTAATACTTTTTTTTTTAGAGCATTTATAATGAAACTTCCTGATAGAGGACAAAAGATTAAAGAATTTTATGACAAAATATTGAAAGAAATAGAACATAAGAATGAAGTTGAGAAAGCAGCTAGTCTTTTATCAAGATTAAATTTAGCATCCGAAGGTAAAGCTGCTATGAATGAACTAGAATGGACAGGCAAATATAGTGAAACGAAAGATACAGTCAAAATCGTTGAACTTGATAGTGATGATGAAGAAGATCCACTGAAAATATTAGCACAAGTTGGTTTTACTTAATAATGATTATTCTATAATTTTCTAAGTAATCTATTTTTACATTTATTGTATATATTTTAAATTATTAGCCCACAGGTTCTGGTGTACACAAAAAGAAAATTATCCATCTACCACCAGAGGAAAGTTTAATTAAACCAGAAGATTTAGCTGAAATAGAATCTTTCAAACAAGAAGAATTTAATGAAGCAGAACACATTAAATATATTCTCAATAAAGTAGAAAATCCTTCAGAAGAGAAAGATAAGAAAAAAGAACCATTTAAGCCATACAAAACTACCAAATCTAATGTACACGATCCAGAAAAGGAGAAACAAAGAAAGACTAATAAAAATTGGGAAGTTACAGCAGCTACACCTCCACTTATAGTTCATGGTGCTGTAAAAGTCATAAATTTGAACGAGTCTTTATCACTACAAAAAGAACATGAAGAAAAACTTCAGGTAATAGCTTTATATTAGACACATATATAATCCTATATTTTTTTATGTGTACAGGATACATTCTTTAATGATTATAATATTTTATAGAAGATTCAAGCCAAACATGCAGCTGAAAAATTTGCAGAACAACTTGGTTTACATACTATTGGACGTCCACCAAAAAATTTAGATACCTATCAGTTACAAGGCGAAAAAGACTCAAATTCATCTTCTACTTCAGAGAATGAAGAAGAAAATGAAGTACATGATGATGAAGATAATGATAAAAGAGGCACA